AAAAAAAAAAAAAAAAAAAGAAAAAAAGATAAATAAAGAGCTGAGGGTGTACCTCAGTGTGAAGACCCTAGGTTCGAGTCCCATTACTGGAAAAAAAAAAAAAGAACAGCAAAGAGAGAAATGACCCAGCTTCCAGAGACCCCAGACAATGAAGCACTGGAATATGCTAACCAATATTATGAATACTACGGCATGGTGTGACAACCTGTTCAATCCAGTATCAAACTATATCAAAGACACTTTGCACCAAAGAGTAGAGAGGCAAACAACTTTATTATGCCAGCAGGCTGATGGGGATCATTCCCAAAGTATCAGCCCAGAGCCCACTTTGGGATTGGCTTATATAGGTTTGCAAGCAAGAAGTACAGAAGCTTAAAACTGTGGTGAATTCTTATTAGGTAGTGCTGGTCATTTTTCATTTCTGGGCAGAAAGTCCTTAAAACAAGTTAGCAGGCAGGATTATGTTTGTGGCTAGAAAGTACAAGGTGTGCAGCTAAATGTGGTAAAACTGAGAGAGGTCAGGCTATCTCTGGTTTACAACTAGACATAGCCAGTCAACACTGACTGAGTCTAGTGGTTGAATGTAGGGAATGGCTGAAGCTGGAAATCAGTCACACATGGGGGCTAGGACAAAGCCTGCCCTAGAACTTGGGGAGCTCCTCCAGCCATGTAAACAAGCTATTCCAGCCTGTAAGCTGGTTGCTAGGCAGAGAGGTTAAAATTGACATAAACCTCCCCAACGTGTAAATAAATGCTGTACAGTTCTTGGGCAGTTCCTCTTCTCCCATCTGGAAAAGGGCTTCCATATGACCTCACCTTTCTTTTCTTGTATTTATTTTCTAAATCCTCTTGCCATTTTTCCCCACATCGTGGAGAGCTGCATGGGTCACGGCAGTTGAACTATGTGGTGGGCTAGATGATGATGTTTTGTCCTAATATGATATCAGACTATAGCTAATTTTATAAAATTTCCATCACATTCCCCCCTTTTTCTGGTTATAATGAAGATTTATGTTATGATTGGAGGAGTTGGTAGGACTGAGGAGTCCTTAGGAGTAATTGGCAGTGCATAGGCATAGCCTCAACATGCTTGAAAAGCAATTGGGTCTGAAAACAGATCACATAGGGGCCTAACAGGAGAACTAGCATCAGAGGGTCATCAGAGGTCAACAGGGCCCAAACCATGTGGGGAAGAACTTTAAGGAGCCTGAACAAGAGGACCCAGCCTGATCCATGGTTGTAGCTCAGCAGGAATAAACACCTGCCTGGCAAGCACAAGGTCCTGAGTTTGATCTTTGGAACCTGGGGTGAGGGAGGATTCAGCTTGTATTCTTTGAGCCCCTTTGTTCAAGGTCTTTTCAGAGCTGTCATTTTCTCTGATTACACCAAACTTGTTCGCACAATAGCAGCATTCCTTTTCTAAGAAGAGGCAAATGCCCCCTTGTTAAGTGGTTAAGAGATCTAAGGCTCTTCTGTTCTGTAAAACAAGCATGGCTAAAAGGTCAATTTTCTTGGAGCATGTCAATAGAATTTTGCACATTCTTAAAGTCTCCTATTATTTGGTGAGTTTACTGCATACGTTGATTTTGTCCTAATCCAAGAGCCATTGTACTCAGTGAGGCCTCCTGCTACTGTTATGCAGGCCAGGATGGGCAGAAACACAAGATCTCATTTTCAGCAGGTCACAGAGGCAGAAGGTCTTAGTCACCTGGGTAGATGTTTAAATCCCGGATCAGAAAGGCCATCTCACAAAGACTAATATTTTGTGGGGAAAATATATGGTAAGCCCTTTAGAGCACACAAGGGTAGTTCCATTGTCTGCCTGAAGTAGGATATTGGGTTGGGATAGTGGGATAGTGGGATACAGAGGCAGTTAGATGGTACATTTGGGGAGCCTCCATATCCTAAGAAGCAAGTGAAACTTACCATTATTTGGTCTGGGAAGGCTTAGAATAAGTTGGCTGGCAAGTGAGTGGTGTTAAACCAAGAGGCATTTGGGGTTAGTTCCAAAGCCCAATAGGATAGCAGTGAGTGGCATACAGAGCCAACAATCCTCCGCCAAGGTTGGGTCAACTTGTTGGACAGTATGGGTCCCATTAACCAACTGTAACAGATATGGGGCAAGCGGGGTGGAATCCCAGGAATCATTTTTGGCAGGAGATCTGAGGTTTGTGAAGACATTAGACATGGAGACGTAGGTACTAGGGATAAAAGCCTTCTGGATTTGAGTTAACATAGCGAGGTCTTTACCTGTGCCATCCACCCAAACAACTAACAAGCAACCCGTTGCCCAGATGGTGTCATTTGGGTTATAAACATGATATTGGACAGGATTACAGGTGCCCTTATGGCAATTTGAGAGGACTAGAGTCTTGATGAGAGGTGGCCATCCATTGTAGGGAGATTTTTTCCTTTTCATGTTTTGTGTATGGTTGACTCTCTTTGTTAGGTTAATATGTATTATTACATTTCCAAGTGAATATGGAAATGACTAAATACCACAATACCAGGTATTTAGATTGTTACAGCCCTAGTCTCTTAGGTTATGCCTCTGGATGTGTGTGTGGAGGTGGTAGTCCTGACAACCCTAGCAGATATATTTCTGGTTGTAAGTTCATTCCCAATTCAAGTCAACTATTACACATCCTGTATAATGGTTATTAGTCTTATTGTTGGAATAAGCATCAAAGTGTAAGGATGCACTAGTTTTATGGGGCCCCATCCGGTATAGTGGAAATTTGGGTATCTCCTAGGTAGATCTGAAACTTCCAATACCTTCCCTTTTCATATATTCCTAGGAGGTTTAGATATATTATCCATAGCAGAATCGTTTCAGACAGTTGAGGGTGGACAAACCAGTGGCCACACTAACATATATCAGAACAAAAACAATATTTTAGGAGTTCTCATATCCTCTGGGGTCACAGCCCAGAGTCTGGTAGCAAACACCAAGATCAACAGGAAAAAAACAGGCTAGAAACCAAACAGAATAATAGTACATGGTGACTGTGTTTTTTCTCTGTACAGTGTCCATCAAACTTCAGCCATGCATTGCTTGTCAGATTCCAAAGTGACAAGACAAGGGCATTAGGTGAGTCTTTAAGGGTTTTGATTCATCAGGGTAGGTGTTCCAGCAGTCATCAGGATGAGCCTGGGGCGCGGTATCCGGAGAGGCGGCGCTCGGGTAGGCGCGCCCTGCCGGTCGTGGAGAGAGGCGCGGCCCGGCCGAGTCCCCCGCCCCGGCGCCGAGCGCTCACTCGGAGGAGGACCGAGTCCCGCGCGCCCGGCCGCTGCCGCCTTCGCCCCCGCCCCTGGGAGCCGCGGGTCCGCGCGAACAATGGGCCCGGGCGCTCGGGCCGCGCTGCTCCGGGCGGGGCTGCAGGTGCTGGCGCTCGCGGGCGCCGACGAGCCGCACGTTCCTCCAGCGAGTCTTGGGCCTCCACGAAACTCCACTGGTAACCTAACAGAGACTCTGCCTTCCAGCAACACCAGCAGCACTGTGAAACCACTGACCACTACAATACCCTTGGTCAGCAACAGGACAGCCACCACCGTGAAATCCACAGTGACTTCTAAAGTGGCGACACCAGCAATCTCAACCAGTCCAACTCCCGCCACCTCAAAGACTACTCCTAAAGCAACAAGTATTTCACAGAATGTAACCCAGAGGTCAACCCCCACAATGACTACAGCCCACCATGGTTTGGTGACATCACTAACAACAACTGTCCACTCTAAAGAAGGCGGAGGATCGAAGTTCGATACTGGCAGCTTTGTTGGTGGGATTGTACTGACACTGGGAGTGTTATCGATTCTTTATATTGGATGCAAAATGTATTATTCGAGAAGAGGCATTCGGTATAGAACCATTGATGAACATGATGCCATCATTTAAGGAAATCCAAGAACCACGGAAAGAAGAAAGATTGGTGCAGCTCTCTAATTGTGGCTTATTAGTTTAAAACAATATTCTTAAAATAGTATACATGGACCAGGGGTATGATGCGTGATGTATTATATAAACTTGTGAGGATTCCTTCTTATTACTAAAGACAAAATTGCCTTAGTTTAAACGTTTAAATGATATAGCTAGAGCTTACAATTTAT